CATCAAATGAAACCTTTCACTCTTTAGTACCACTGAAAGACAGTTTGTTATCTAGAAAGATAAAGCATTTCTGGTAATCAACTGATGTGTGTGTGTATGTGTATATATACTACATTAAATGTATATATTTGGCAGGCATGTGTTAAATTAAAAGAACTAAATCAAAAGTGACATTGAAGATATTTATAATGTTACAAAAATATTGTTTAAATTATGTTCTGTTTCAAATTTGTTCATCAAAGAATCCTGAAAAAATATATATCATGATTTCCACAAATGATTAAGCAGCACAACTGTTTTTAGCATTGATAATAATAGAAAAGGTTTCCGAAGCACCTAATCATCATATTACAATTATTTCTAAAGGATCATATGAAACTGAATGCTGGAGTAATGGCTGCTGAAAATGTAGCTTTGCCATCACAGAAAATTTTTTTTTTTTTTTAATAGATCATAGTTAGTTTAAACTGTATAATAATTGCATTATAGTAGCCCACCTGCAGTTTAGGTGAGTACAGCAAGTTTGAGGTAATTGCACAGCAGGACTGTTCACTCTCTTAAATAGCTCTGCAAGAAGATAAAAATCATTAATTCTAACCAGCATCATGCAAACAATGATCATTGACATAAAGTGCTGGTTGTATGAAATAAATTAGCCAACTTAACCCAGTGCAGAGAGGTTTATTGTCTCATTAAGTTATATTACAGGTAATGTTACTGTTACGCATCAGCTGTCACTAGAACACAATGCTGAATGTGGAAATTGGGCAAGTAAATGTCTGTTTCCTGAGCAAGCACTCCTTCCTGAGAGAAAGAGAAGAAAAGTGGGTCACTGCCTAATTAAGGGCTGGGTTCCCCGTGCTTCTCAGCCTTGCATAGAGATGGGGAAAGATGGAAACACACACTCCATATATAAGCTATGGTTCAGAGAAAGATCTGCTTTTGGTTTTGCTTCCCTTCCACCTTCACTTTCTAACTGTGATAGTGACAGAGAAAGGATGAGAATATTAAGGTAGAAAAAAAACACAAATGCACAGATATGGTAGGGTGTTTTTCTTTAAAGAGCAGAATGGATAAAGGTCATGTATAAATACATGGCCATGTGTTGGAGGTGTAGAACTGCATTGACAAGCCATAAGTGGTTCTCATTTCCAGTACAAGCTTTTGAATTTAGAAACTACAATCCAATAGTTGCTTTGGAACCACTGATTGGCTACACTTACTTTCATATTGTATTTCGTCTCTAGTTTGTCCAGTAAGCGCAAGTCTAACTTCAAGGACGAATCCAGGGTAATGAATATTTCATTTCTCCCAGCATTGACTGCAGCTGAGACTCCTATTTGTAACACCCCCATTTTCTCACCAGTCTTAACCCTTCCCCATAGAGGAAGCCACTACTGTATATTTTCCTAGTAGCCTCCTGTCTCTCATCACTGGTGATGCTTAAAAAAAGGCAGTAAGGTTTTTTTTAATTAATATTTTTATTTAGCAGGGGCACGTTAAATTGATCTAATAAAAATGTATAATACTACAAAAGATTTTTATTTTCTATAAATGGTGTTCTTTTGAACTTCCTCAATCAAACAATCCTGAAAAAATGTATCTGTTTCCACAAAAATATTAAGCAGCACAGCTGTTAGCATTGATAAGAAATATTTCTTGAGCAGCAAATCCGCATATTATGATTTCTGAAGGATCATGTGACATTGAAGACTGGAGCAATGGCTGGTGAAAATTCAGCTTTGCATAACTGGAATAAATGTCATTTTAAAATTAGAAAATTACATTCAAAAATTATTTTAAATTGTAAATTTCATAACATTCCTGTTACTGTATTTTTGATCAAAATAAAAGTCTTGGTGTGCATAAAAGACTAATTTTCCAAAATGCTTAAACATCTTATCGACCCCATATGTATGTTTTGGAAACTGAATAACTAAATGACACTACAATAAATTCAGAGTAATAAAAATGACTTATGTGTCAATTCTGCATTAAGAACGACACACTAGAATTACTCAAAGATCTTGAATAAGTATATGCTTGCAAAGAGTGATGGCTATACAGAAGATATTGTGCAGAAAACCTATAGATGGAATTGGTTTGGGCATGTATATTATGTTCAGGGCAGGATTGGTAATCGGGCATACCGGGCGTTTTCCCGGTGGGCCGACGCATTTAAGGGGCCGACAGAAGGTTTTTTTGTTGTTGTTGTTGCCGAGGACCATCACGCACGGATAGCGAGCAGCCAGATGCCCATTGGTTTGTCTCCTGTATTGACAGCGTAAACATCCAATCACAATGCGCTATAGACAGAGCGATGAAGTATTTTGCTCCGCCTATATAAAGATCGCTTCACCCCAACTTCTTCCTCGTCGGCTTTTCGCACGTTTTCGTGCCCCCTCAGATTTCTGAGCCAAATGGATTTTAAATGCAGCTTCCAAAAGACAAAAAATAGCCGAATAATATTTTTTATATTTGATACAATCACACCGGTGTGATTAGATCGTTTAGTGCGGCACAGCATCAGCTGCTATTCAAATCTGCGTTCACTTTGGCTGGCGCTGAGCCAGAGACAGACGCGTTTGTACAGCACTGCCTTATAACCAATCACACACGAGACTGTTGAGCTTATGAATGCAATGGCCAATCAGAGACGTTCAGATGAGTCATCGCTGAAACGCGGTGTTTTGTTCACTTGCTCGCTGGCTGTGCAGATGTGCGTACGAATGTAAGTAAGATATTCATTTCACAGTGTAAACAGCTTCAGTGATTTAAATTGGAGTTTTTGAGAGTGCCTGAACTCTGGCTAGACTGAAGTGAAAATGTTCTTTGATAATTTAAATGTTCTTTGCTCTCTGTAAAATGAAAACGTTATAGCCTAATATAGTAGCCTAACTTACAATATTGTTATTAAATTCACATCATCTCAACATCACACACAAATACAAAATATTGTATGTTGGATCAAATAAATGCAGGCTTGGTGAGCAGAAGAGAACTCTTTAAAAAACATAAAAAATCTTACTGTTCAAAAAAATTTACTAGTATACTGTGTGTGTGTGTGTGTAAATATATATATATATATATATATATATATATATATATATACATATACATATACATATACATATACACATACACATACACATACACATATACATATACATATACATATATATATATACATATACATATATATATATATATATACATATACATATATATCGAAGTGGTGGTGGGCAACCTGGACCAAAAAATGCCAGGGCCGATTTTTTTGTCCCAGTCCAGCCCTGATTATGTTAATTACTAACCGTGGGCTCTCGTTCCCTCATTAAGGATAATCCGGATTCATCAACATTAGAACGAGGGTTAAGAAGAAACGCACCTAAACCCATCAATTTTCTGTGCATATTATAAAGAATGCTTTGTTCACACGCAGTTATTAGGGAACGTGACCCATGTGAGTCTATGGAACCTACACATAGTTGTATTTTAATTTTAGACAGATTATACTGATTGTATTTGTGATGTTGTGACTGATGGCAGCCTGTTCTGCCTGTTAAAATGTAGATACAGAAATACCCATGTTGCTGATCAGGGCCGTTTCTAGGCATAGGCGAGCTAGGCGGTTGCCTAGGGCGCCGCCAGCTGAAGGGGCGCCAATGAGCGCACGTACTGGCACTTTTAGCAGGGTTGTGATAAAGAGTGGCACGGTCACCCTGAAATATGACTGCTACTGGATTCCCCCAACATTATTGGGCTAGAGTACTGTAAATCTGACGATGCCTGTATGCCACTAGATCAGAGTGCTGTCAATTGCTGCCTGATTGTTGCATGCAAAGTTTGCATTTGGAGCGCTCAACAACGCCGTTAGATCAGTGGGCTCTGTCAGTGCTTTGGCAAGGTAACACTTTGCCATGCAATAAAGCTAAGTTCAAAGGCCAATTTAAAATATTGGTACAGTAAATAAAGTGCACAAAATATTTTGTTTAGGCAGTATTTGTGGCACTTTTGTGGCACATTTGTCCAAAAGGTGTGCGTTTTTTGTGCCAATGCATTGTTAAAGGATCAGTGTGTCATGTAATATTCCCATATAAACTTTAACATCCAATTAAAAAATATTTGTATAGTAAAATTAGCTAATTCACGAGATCAATACATCCTTTATTAGACCGCTTTGTTGAGTTAAATGCATCCTTACGGAGGTGTCGAAATGCTGATTCAATTCATTCATTTCCAACAGCGCTTAATGGGAGCAGCTTCATAGAGGGCAGAGCGTCACATTATTTAAAGGGGACGTTAACACATTAACGAGTAGCAAATGATTAAGTAGCTGCATTGGTTACTTTTATGCCACTGATAAAGCTTTTATATGTAGTTTGGGGTAACAGAGGGGGTTTATAGGTTTGACTGAAATAATAATGCAATAACTGACACTTTAAATCAATGTTTCAAGAAACAACAACAACAAAAATTTAACAAAAAACAGATAAAGACAAAAAAGTGCCATTGATAATATCTAAACAATATGTAGTAGTATAGTATTCAAATCAAAATGTAATAAAATTAATTTATGTGTGATTTATGTGTAAATTATGTGCAATGTCTTAGCCGCTAAGGATTGTTACATAGGGCTATACGGGCATCTAGTGGCAACACAATGATATTAAAGATACTAAATTGTGCAAAATGTTTATCTTAACAGTCAATTTACAAATAATGCATTCAGATTTGTGGAACTCAATGCACTGAATCTCCACAAATTAGTGTTGTTACTATGACAACCAATTTGAATGTGACAAGCAACTGGTGTCTGAAAAGAATTATATATATTTATATATATATACTGTATATAAAATTTGGGAGGGGGGGGCGCAACAGGGATTTCGCCTAGGGCGTCAAATTGGCTAGAAACGGCCCTGGTGCTGATACACAGTACTGTCTGGAGTGTTAAAAATGAATGAGGCATGCAGCTAAAATCTCTGTTTCCCCTGCAGATGATGGAAAGCTATCCCTTGATGAGTTCCAGGCTTTCTTCTCTGATGGGACTCTGAATGAAGAGGAGCTGGAAAAACTGTTTCACACCATTGACTCTGATAACACCAGGTGATTCTACAGACACACAGCACTGAATACACATCCAGTGAATCACAATACAGGACAACAGAGGGGCAATAAAAATAGTCAGGGATTGGTCCAGAATAACAAAAATAATAATATTAAATTGATTGGAACTTTGTAAATTCGTTTCACTTTGTGTTTGTACATCCTGCTCAAGTTGTTAAATGTTCCAGTAAAAACATTAAAGCTATATTTAGAATTATCTTAATAGTTCATGACATATTATCCATTTCTCTACATGTTCATTGTAGAGAATGTTCATTTTCACAAGTTTAGTTTTTTTCTTCTTACAAAATTGCAGCTTGTCTGGGAATTACACAAAAATATAATTCATTAAAAATATATTTAAATGTAATAAATATAATGACAAATAATAATAAACTTTGTTTTAAGTAGATGTAATATATTTATTAATAATAAATACTATATTTATTATATTGTATAATTAATCATACATATCACACAAATTTATTCCACACAATAGATATAGAATTTTTTTTAATTATTGCTTCTGCATGTTACAATATTTAGCATATTTTTATAATTATTTTTTAACAATCATAATTTTATGATAGAAATTCACATTTTCAGATCGAAAGTCTGGTTATGTGTAATAAAAATCACTCCCTGGGACATAAAAGTGCAGCCGTAGTTGGAAAAAACGCTGCATATAGTTTTTGACGATATAACCATATAGCCAGGATCTTCAGATCTTGGTTCTCAATTTAACCCCTGATTATAGGTAATGGTTTCTTAAGAACCAGGCAGAAAAGTGGGGCAGATTTCATTTTGGTGGACATAATAAAGTATAATTAACAGCAAGAAAAGGGGAAAACTGAAAGACAGTGACTGATGAGGGATAATACAGGGATGGGGTTGAACTGTAATAGGACTAGACCCTTTAGAATAGCTGCTTCTTTTGGCACATAACATTGCTTTACTCGCTTTCTCTCTCTGTCTCGCTTAACGTTTTGTGTTTGGAAAATGTCTTACTGTCATCATGACTGCATCTGTCTCATCTATAGCGATCTGCTGCCAGATCTCTCTCCCTTTCTGTTCTCTGTGTTTCACGCACCCTATTTCTCAGTGTTTGTGTGTATAGGTGTGTGTGAGCTGATCTCTGGAGGCAGAGCAGCTCCAGTTGTGTGTTGTCTTTAATCACATTTCAGAATGAATTATGTAAAAAAGGAGGGGAAGTCTGCAGCTGCTAGGATGCGGTCGATGCTCTTCAGGTCCAATACAGCCTTTGCTCTAAATAATGAACCACCAGAGCCCATAAGGACTGGTGCAGAGAAAAGGATGGAGACAAGAGGGCTAGATGATGAGATGGGGGGAGGGCTGGAAAAGACACTGGGATGGGGGGTGCTGAGAGACGCTGAGGTGGTGAAGATCAAACGGAAGAAGAAGAAAACTGAGAGCTTTATGCATGTCACCTTTTTGTGCTTGTTTCTCATTTACACTTGTGTTGAAGATTTGAAATGAAACATGAGCCCCTTATCTTTTGTCTTCCATTTATCTGAATATCATGCTGACATTCACACAATTTGACAGCGTTCTTAACAGGTGCGACTATGATGGAAATCTGTTTTTTTTTTTTGTTCTTACCAGTTGAGACCATGACGAGCAAGGTCTTTTTATTATTTTTTATTATTTTAGCCCCGCCCACTATGAAATCTCTTTGGTCAAAATCCTGCTCTTTATAACTGTATATTAAATGAATGTTAATTTCTGTTTGTAAATCATTTTCCTTCCCTAATTTGACATATGTTTAATTGATGCATGACATTCAACAAGAAAAGAAAAAAATCAAGGGCAAATAAATTTTATTCACTGAGAATCAATTTGATTATGAAAAGTATGTGTTACATATCAGAATGAAGCCAGTCTGAATGCAAGTGTTTTAAAACACTGTTTTAATAGCTATTGTTTAACATGATCTAATAGCACTTGCCGCCTAAATGATGTCAGGAAAGTCATTTGAGGTGAAGAACTTGCTATTATTTTTTTGATTAAAAATTACAGACTGTTTTTTCTTTTTAATAACGTGCACAGATGAATCATTCACAGTGAGACCAAGAACACGCATCAAGAAAGTAAATAGGCTTAATTTAGTTTTAATGTTGACTCCATCCTTTCATCAACATATTGGATGGAAAATAATCACGCTGATGAATCTGATCAGTAGCTTATCTAGCACCGTGCTAATGGGTATGAATAGAATAGGCCACTAAGAGAGAGAGAGAGACTCATGACATTCACACATGACAGTCTTACACACAGCAGTCTTCCCATCTCTTCTGTCCTCCGTTGAGGTGGACGTACTCTTTATTTGACAGGCCAGGCATCAAGAGCTCAGTACCAGTGAAAGGAGAGAGGATTGTTAGCCGTGTTCACTCTCAGTGCCCACCCTACACCTGTAAATGTCATACTTTATATCTTTTTTGTGCTTCCCTTTGCCGATGGCACTTCCATTTTAACAAGTAAGGGAAAGTATAAAGAAGTGAGAGATGAAAAGTCCAATAGCAAAAAAAGATAGAGAGAGGATAGGATGAAGCCTGGAAAGGGTAACAACCAGGCAGTAGCAAAATGGTTTTTAGCTTGCTTCTCTTTCTTTTTCCTTTTTTTTTTTTCTAGTAGTGGCCAGTATGAGTACTTTTTGTAACATTATATATCGCAATAGTCATTTTTGTAGGAATAAAAAAGTGTTTAAATAACCATTTTCTATTACCTATTTTTGGATAATCCAGTCTATGAAATACTTAATCTCATTTGATTATTTCTCCTTTTTGTTTTTGTTTAGATCTCGATAAATTCAACCTAAAATATACGATTATTCATATTCAATTAAGTCTGGCATCAGTACAAATTACAAAACGTCATATTTTGTAACACTTGAGTTACAAACAAAATACTTAAAACATTCAAATTATATCAAAAAATAGTTCTGACTATATTATGATTGGTTGAGCAACAACAACGAAAAACCTCTCTAAAAAACAACATATGCATTTTACCATTCATTAGTTCCAGATCAGTGTCAAATTGGCTGATTAATTCATTTTGATGGAGCATGTAACTTCAAGGTCTGCTGAGGTACTGGTTTCAAAAATCACATATATTTAAGTTTTGTGTTGTGTTATCTTTAAGATCCATATAAATAGATAGTTTAGTGAGATTCTGTATAACCACTCTTGTAAGACACAGATGTAGCATTTGATTTGTGCTGGGTTTTCACTTGTTTCTTATCTCTTTCTTCTCCTGCTTCTTCTATTCTCTTTTTCTGTACGCTTCCCTTTTCCTGCGATGTGTTAGTAATGTTGACACCAAGGAACTATGCGGTGAGTATCAGTATGTTTGTGTGTTAAGCAGTTTAATTTTTCAATGTTTTCATTCTTCCATATTGTTTGTGAGTTTTCAGAAAATGCTTAATTCAGTTCTGGCTCATTTCTCTGTTCATTAGACTACTTTGCCAACCACATGGGGGACTATGAAGGTGTTCTGGCCTCCCTAGAGACACTCAACCTGGCCATTCTCAAAGCCATGGACTTCACCAAAAAGGTTAGTGTGCCAAAAACTGACTAAAGTGTCTTTGCTTCAGTGGCCTTCTGCATTTTTGTCAATATAATGTCCAATAACATGCATTCAGATTTTTGAATATTTCTATTAAAACATTGCTGGTTTAGCTTGGCGACTGCTCCTAAATCAGAGCCTGAATCATATGTATCTTTGGAGGTCTAAAACAGAATTCCATCTCTTATAAGCATACTCCAGTAAATCCTTCCTCAGACGAGGGACAGATATTGAGCATGTTATTGCAGTCTCTCCTACTTGTCTAAATATAACCTCTCATTTCAAAGCTTGGCTTGCATATTCTGTTTGTGGTTTTCTTCTCATTAGCAAGCTGGTGCTCAGTTAGACAGCACTTCAGATTACTGAGCTGTGGCCATCACAAATATGTGCCTCTCTCTTTCTTTCCGTTCTAAGCGAGTGTGTAATCTGATTTATAGAAGACGTAAAAGCCCAGTCGCTCTCTGTTTTTTTCCCTCCAGCTCTTCTCGTATCAGTCTTTGAGCATATTCCTTCCTTCTCCTTGTGTTTCACACTCCCCACCGGCACGCTGGAGAATGTAATTGATGTTAATACTGCAGGTTAGAGTTCTTAAATACCTGGCTGAGTGATAGTTGTAAAATATCTGGCCCGATACAAACTGAGTTTACCCTTTAAAAATGTATAGCCCATTTTGGGTACAGTTATTAGTGTTTGTTTTGTCTGAGCACACACAAGCTTCACAGCGATGGCTTCTGGGATCCAAAACCCTCTTACAGACAAACACTTCTGTTTTAATCCAGCTGGCTGATTGCAAACCCTACATTGATTTCAGAAAGCAAATTATTATACCTTGTGATTCTTCACCACGCCTATATTTGCGTTTCTGTTCTCAACAGATGCTTTCGTACCAAGGCCACTCACAATTGTTAGTGTGAGCGCATAATTTTGTCTTTGAATTCTCCTTTAATCTTTTTTCTCTGTATCAATTTTCCTGCCACACCTGAGATTCTGTTGTACATAATTTCTCTCTTGCAAACATAGCAATGTTCTGCTTGTGTTTTTGCATCATCAGACATTACCTGTGCATAATTTCATATTCAAATAAGTTGTTAAATGTATAGATGAATGTAATGTAGAAAGGGGGTGCAAAGGGGTCCTATAGAAATATATTTTATAGAATTGAATATTACTACTCTCAAAGTTAATGAGTTTCGGGATATTATTTAATCTCTTTATTGCAATTCTGAATTTGATAATTAATTATTTATCTAACCTATTTTTAGATTTATATATCTTATATTACTCTAATAGCGAGTAGATAAAAGTTACATATATCTTTATACAAATTAAATATAATATTTTAATCTGTACTTATGCAGTAAATTATATAAATTATTTATATATATATATATATATATATATATATATATATATATATATATATATATATATATATA